AAACCACGTAAATCTCATTTTTGTTTGTGTGTGATTTTTTATCTGTTATATTTGCCAATTGTGTGTGTGAAACCCTAACACTAAGGCAGATGCAGGTTTTAGGTTAATTAAGGAAGGTTGCTCAAAATGATAAAGCTGCAAAATGTTGTTTGTCTTGGGAGTTCATTCAACGAAAAAAAAATAGGTTATTGGTGTCTTGGCTAAACATCTTGTGAAAGATAAAAACTTTATAACCCTTGCTTTGTTTCAAATTTTGGATGGTAGATCCTTGAAGTGATTTCTTGATCCTTAGTGGTTCATCCTTGCACCAATCCTTTTGTCATAGGATTATTAGAGTTTGATTTTCCATGGGTTGCTAAATATCATTGAGGTTTAATGTTATAAGTGGAACTTGTCCCACATCGGATTTGGATGGGAGTTGAAGTATGTATAAATGGGTGGGTATGTAGCACTATTCAGTAACTTGAGTTTTATGGTAAATGGGCAAAATCCCACCCGTTACATTTAGCATAATGGTAGTTTGAAAGACCTAACTTCTTGGCTGATGCTGAAAACATAGACATAGGGAACACCGTCTTCATCATCATCATTATCCTTTTCTTTATCCCATATGGATGGGGTCTGCCTTATGAATTCTCCTTTTTCATTCTTTTATATTATGGACTATGTCTTCCCTTAAATTTAAGTTTTTTAAGTCCTAAAATTGGTTTGAAATGGATGAAGACGCATCAAGTTATGCACCATGTTTTATCATAAAAGCAAAATGATTAGACCGATTTTACTTGTGTCATTTGACAACTATGGAGGACTAGAAAGTCCTCATGATGTCAACTATGGTGGACTAGAAAGTCTTCATGATGGTGCATCTTTTATAGTTCCTCAGGTTGCTAGGCAAGGTACATGAAATGGTGTTGATACTTTGGGTGTCCAGTTGAATGATTTGGTTGAAATGTTCCTCATAGTAGCATTACTCTTGGTTGAAATGTTCTGTTGATGATCCAAGACTTATGCCTGTGCATTTTCTTTGGTATAGTATTTTTCTCCTTTGTATAGTTTTGGTGGTTATACTAGAGAGCTGTGACTCTGTGTTCTGTTTTGCTAGTTTGTTGCCTGTTTGTAATAAAGTGCTACTTGGGGGTGAAAAGGATCATCATGTCTATGAACATCTCCAAGTATAAATAAACAGTTATCACTTTTTTTAAATGCAATCGACGCAAACTAAAGATGTAATAAAATTATAACCCACATGATTGAGTTAAACTCAAATAATATATATCTCTAATCAGCACCCTCTGGAAAAGACTATTTTGCAACATAATATAATTCTGACCCCTTAGAAAATCAAAGTCTCGTTAGGACCGGAAATGAACCAAATGTTCAACGAATTCAACGAATTCGTGTTCGTTTGATTAATAAACAAACCAAGCTCAAACAAAAATTTTAGACTCGTTTATTAAATGAGCCAATGTAATGACCTAAATCCGGAGATTCGGCACGATTTTGAAGTGCTTGTTGTTCTTTGTTGAATTTTAAGAAGAATGACACGACTTTAGATATGCTTGTTGTTCTTCGTCTTTAGAGAATTTGTTGAAGAATAGCACGACTTTGGATGTGCTTGTTGCTCGTCTTCTTCAAGGCTTAAATGTTGGGGATGAATTTCGGTAGAGTTTATTAAAATTCTGGACTTCTGAGTTTCTGAATTTTTGCACTTTCTGGATTTCTGAGTCTCTGGGCTCTAGATTTTTGAGTCTATTAATTTCTGCCCCCTTCCTCCTTCCTCCTTGCCTCTATTTATAGGCTTCTTAGATTAATAGGATGATGACATGTGTCCTTTCTTGATAAGGACATAACTATAATTGGGTCAGGCCGGTTCTATTGTCATAATTATCTATAAAAATAATTATTTCAAATATATTTTTGTAACGACCTGAACCCGGGGGTCCGGATCATTATTCGGGTCTTTAACCGAACCCGAGGTTAACTAAGGGCTAATGAACGCTGAATATTACATATTCGAGCCCCTAAATATGCATATGTTAAGACCTAAAGTGATATATCTATCCTATTTTCTACCAATTTATGTTTATTTCATGTTTTTAGGTGTTTTCCAAAAGAAACAGTTAAAACCAAGATTTTATGATGAAAAGAATGATAATGAAGTTTACCGCGTCGTTGCCGGTCATTCAGAGCAAATTGAGAGCTTAAATGGTGAAGTTTGGAGGAATTCAGAATCCAAAGATCGAGCATAAAACATTGAAGCTCGAGCATTGTACCTTGATGCTCCAGCATTACCATAAGGATGCTCGAGCATAACCATAGGGTGCTCGAGCCTTGACCCTCAAGCTAGAGCAGTTGATGCGTCAGAATTGACCCAAGCTCCCAGACCTCATGCCTCACCTCCATGATTGAGCACTATCAACAAAGGATGGAGCATCAGTTCCTTAAAGCTCGAGCAATGAGCCCCAAATGCTCGAGCATGGTACCTAGTGATCGAGCGATGTTAAAGCAAAAAGACGCTTCAGAAAAATAGTCCAAAGAAATTGGCTAAGTGTTAATATGGTGATCGAGCACCATCCACTGAAGCTTGAGCATCCATCCAGTATTGTTCGAGCATTTGTTCCTAAAGCTCGAGCATGAGTACTAAATCTCTAAACCTGCTTCAGTATTTTTGCCATAAGTTTTGACTCGGAAGTCCAAATTGAGTAAACTCAGTGGCTCTGGAAAGAAGACTCGAAGCTTAACGTTTTTATCTATAATAGCCATCTCCAAATTTGCACTTTAAATGGGTCAACATTGCATTGCAAAGCCGGATAAAGTTGCTGGCAAGTGATGCTCGAGCCTGAACTATTGATGCTCGAGCATCGGACCCTGATGCTCCAGCCTGGACGTCCTGGAAGTCGTAAAAACATGCGGGAATGAACAAAAATCATTATTCTTTATTTCCTTATGGGCCTAGATGACCCTAGAAGACCTAAAAGCCCGTCCAACCCTTATTAGAAGTTAATTCTTCTATAAAAAGAGGTACAAGGCCATCATATCGGGGATCGATAATCCATCCATCTCTCATATCTCTCTCTCACGGCGGCTTTTAAGGTTTAGAAGAAGAAGATCCAAAAGGAGTTTTGGCGGTCCATGGAGATGAAGACCACAACAACGAAGATGATATCTTGCATTGTCATGAGTAGCTAAATCCTGTCTTAGGGCATTGATGTAGCCCGAATCCGAATACTATGGTTTGATTGTTCTGTACTTTGGGAATTTAATATATTATGTATTTTGATTGCATGATTATGAACAATTGGTTTTTAATGATTAATAGTTTTTGAATGATTAATACCTTGTCTTAGATTTAATTATTCTTAAATTATATTAAACCCATTCTTATGGACGATATCTGGCGGAGCCCTGTCGGAAATAAGAATGGAGATCATGCAATGGTGTTCAAACTTTTTTCATGAATGAATATTTTCATAGTCTATGCCTAGGGAAGATGAGTTATACTGCAAAATTAGTTAGAAGTAGGTAGGTAGATAATTCGTGCCAACCGAAAATATGTTATTATTAATTGTAATTTATGGAACATCTTTCTTTAAATCTGAATTAAATGAATGTTATTGAGTTTAATTCAGATTTAAAGAAAGATGTTCCATGAATTTCAATTAATAATAACCTATCTTCGGTTAGCACGAATTATCTACCTACCTACTTCTAACTAATTTTGAATGATAATACCTTGTCTTAGATTTAATTATTCTTAAATTATATTCAACCCATTCTTATGGACGATATCTGGCGAAGCCCTGTTGGACATAAGAATGGAGGTCATGCAATGGTGTTCAAACATTTTTCATGAATGAATGTTTTCATAGTCTATGCCTAGGGAAGACGAGTTATACTGCAAAATTAGTTAGAAGTAGGTAGGTAGATAATTCATGCCAACCGAAGATAGGTTATTATTAATTGAAATTCATGGAACATCTTTCTTTAAATCTGAATTAAATGAATGTTATTGAGTTTAATTCCATATGATATATAATTATTGAAATTCCAAGGTTGAACAGTTGACCATAGTATGAGGTTCGTGGTGAAGTCAATCCTGAAGTATTTCTTCTCTTGATCTCAATCCTTTTATTCCGTTTATTTTATTTTATTTTATTTATTTTCTGTTTATATTATTACACAACACACAAATCAAATGCTTTTTTTCTAAATTAAAATAGTATTAATTAAAGATTCAATAAACCACCACAGTCCTTGAGGTTTGACACCCTCAACATAGCCTTATCTTACACAGATTCGTTCTATTGCGAGTGGTATTTTATTATTGATAAATAAAAACTGACATCAATTTTTGACACCGTTGTTGGGAATTGTGTCACGATTTTGTTGAGTTTGAGATTAGTTTTATTTTAATTTATAGTTTTAGGACTTTTTGATATCTCACCTTATTTCTTTTTCTTTTCAAGTACAGGAATCAAGGAGAAAGGGCGACGAAGCTTAAGGAGAAGAAGCTACGGTTTTATGACCTTTTGTGAGTTCTTTTTAATTTATTTCTTTGCTTAAAATTTTTCTTTTTATTTGTTACCATTGAAATTAGCTTAAATTGATAGGGTATTCTCTAAATCAAATATGGCCACCATAACCCCAATTGAGGGATCACTTCATTCCCACGTCATATATATCCCCTTGTTGCTTTCAATTTCCACAATCTGATGCAACCCACTTTGAGATCAAGCCAGCTATGATCCAAATGCTTCCAACTTTCCATGTGTTTGCTACTGAAGATCCCTATAAGCACATAGATGAATTTCTAGAATTGTGTTCAATTACCAAATTGTCCACTCTTTCTGATGATGCTTTTAGGATGAGACTCTTCCAATTTTCTCTCAAGGAAAAAGCTAGAACTTGGTTGCACTCCCTACCTCATAATTCCATAAACACATGGGATAAGTTGCAACAAGAGTTCTTAAAAAAATATTACACTGTGGGTAAAACCACACAAATGAGAAAAGAAATTATGGCGTTCTCCCAAATCTCGGGTGAACAACTCCATGATACTTGGGAGAGATACAATGATCTTCTGAGAAAGTGTCCACATCATGATATTCCTAAATGGCATTTGGTGCAAATCTTCTATGATGGATTACATGATCCACATAGGAATATGGTAGATGCTTCTAGTAATGATGGTTTCCTTCATAAGAGTCCAGATGACGCTTGGGAACTGTTTGAGGCCCTAAGTGAAAATTCTGTTTAACATGCTTCTCCTCTAGGTCTAGGTCCACTCTTGGTATCCATCAGGTTAAAAGTTTGTATGAAGCAGAAAAATCTAGAGAGCTTGCCACTCAAATGGAAGTGTTGAATCGAAAGTTTGACCAAGTTTTATCAGTTGTCAGTACTACTAGTTCTTCTCAGTACTCCTTTTTGCTAAAGGAGGTGTGTTCTGTCTGTGCTAATCCATCTCATTATACTAATAGTTGTCCTTTCTTGGGTCAATCTTTTGAAAATCCACAAGCACAAACTAATGCTGCATTCTCCAGTTCGGGTTACAATCCAAGTTCTAATACTTATAACCCTGGCTGGAGAGATCATTCCAATTTATCATGGCAGAATCAAAGCCAAGGCAATACTGTTCCCCAATTTCAGGGACAGTACCACAATTCATCCAATCCTCTGCAAAATAATTCTTTCAATCAATTTTCCATCTGTTCTCCTCCTCAATTTAGGAACCAAGCTAATCCTGATCCTCCTCCTCCTAGGTACTCGTCTAAATTTGAAGAGAAGGTTTTGGCTGCAATTAATGATTTCAAGTCCACCACTCAATTGGTACATTCCCATTCCCAATCTATAGTGAAGATAGAGATTCAAGTTGGGCAAATAGTTAAAGTGTTGACTCAAAGAGAGAAAGAAAAATTGCCTAGTCAGCCAATTGCAAATCAAGTTAGGCAAACTTACATGATTGATGAGACTATTCCTTCAAGTTCTTGTCATGAGCAAGTTAATGCCATCACTACTTTGAGGAGTGGAAAAATCATTGATAATCAAGTTGAGGAAAAAGAGGTAGAAAAAGAGAGGCATAGGATTCCTATTAATCCCAATTTTCCAATTCCACATCCCACAGATGTTCCCTCACATCCTATTCCATCAAGTTCCAAAGAAGTTGAAGGTGAAGTCACTTTTTCATCTACTTTCAACCTTGAGACAGCTTATGAGCCAAGAGTGCCTTTTCCTGAATGTCTCAAGGGACCCTCTTACTTTGGTAAGCAAGGAGAGAAAATCCAAGACATGATGGATGTCTTCAAACAAGTAAAAGTTAATATTCCTCTCCTAGATACCATCAATCAAATCTTTGCCTATGCTAAATTTCTGAAGGACTTGTGCACCCAAAAGAGAAAATCAGAAAGCCAAGTCTCTAAGAAAATCTATCTCACTGAGCAAGTCAGTGCACTCATTCAGCATAGCACTCCTCCTAAGTTCAAAGATCCTAGTGCTTCTACCATATCTTGCACCATTGGAAAAAATGTCATAGACATAATATTTCTTGATCTTGGAGCAAGTGTTAATCTTCTTCCTTACTCAGTGTATGAGCAATTATGTAACGACCCAAACCCAGAGGTCTGAACCGTTAGCCGGGTTCTTACCCAAACCCGAGGTTACCTAGGTCAAAACTCAACATTTATAGAGTCAAAACGTCATTAAATAGGTCATGGCTATGCCTTACAGCGATTCATTTCAAATTCCCAAGGTTTTGGTTAGGATTCACTGAAGAGAAGAACAAGATAAGTCAAAATAGGTGCACTTCGGTCGACCGAAGTGGAGCTTTGATCGACCGAAGTAGACCCTCCAGAACCGGTCGACCGAAACCCTCCTTTGATCGACCGAAAGATGAGATCCTGAGAGCTTGAAGAAGGTTCAGTCCAGAACCGGTCGACCGAAGCCCTCCTTCGATTGACCGAAAGATGAGATCCTGAGAGCTTGAAGAAGGTTCGGTCGACCGAACCCCATTTCGGTCGACCGAAACAGGAGATCCCAAGAGCATGCAAGTGGTTCGGTCGACCGATGTGCCATTTCGGTCGACCGAAATGGCTCTACCGAGCCTTAGACCTGCTGCTGAGTGCCTGCACTTGCGAGGATGAATAGAAATTGACTTAGGGATTTTGTAGCTTGCTCTAAGCTGATCTAAAGACATTACCAACGACAATACCACCAATCCTAATTTAGATCATCAACATTTTAATTGAATGCAACGTCTTTAAAGAACTTTCAAATAGCAAAATATACATAGTCATTACATCTTGAACAAATTTACATCAAAATAGAGCTATAGCTCATGGTTGGATTGCAAGGCCATATATGTAAGCTTAATTACATTTCCAAAATATTGAATATACAAAAGAATGGCCTAGTTACAAAAATAGCAAAATAATGGACTTCAAGCATCCCGTCAAACTTGTAGTGGATGGTCATCTGCCACCTCTTTTCCATGACCTGAAAATGTTAAATATAGTAGGGTGAGAAATTTGCTCAGTAGGTGACACCTAAGACACACCTCTTATGTCCCCGTGAATCCAAACAAAGAATAGAACAATAAGGGTCGGGATCACACCGTGTCGAGAAAGCACAATATAATAACCATTCTCAATATAAACAATACAATGCTATGGAATGCAATGCATGCCGATGCCGCTCCCCATTTTCAACATTCATAACCATCACTTTCAAACTGTTAATATAACCCGCCCTTTGGTGACCCCGCAGCGACACGAGAGAAGGATTGGCTAGTGTCCCTGACCCTTGGTACACCCGCAGCGTCATTTTGGGCCCAGCTAGCTCAACCACACTAAGGCAATCTCCCTAGTTCCCTCTAGGCTATATTAACGCTCCGGCCCTTTGGTACCCCCGCGGCGACCTAGTTTTCTCATAACCAATTTAATTGAAATTCTCCTGAAAATCCACTTTTTCGTTTCAAAACAACTTTTCCCATTTTTATGCCCAATGACATGCATGAACATTACATACTTTCTCAATGCTATGACAAATGAAAGATTTTCATACTACACAAAATAACATGCTTCTATTTAGCAATTTTAAGTAAGTTACTAACACCATAGGCATAAGAAATTAACACATAAACATACTTTCCACATAGTAAGTTTTAACAAGTTGCCGAGCACACAAGTATATAAAGTCAACATTTAAGCATGTTTTTCACACAATTCCACTTATACACATAATCATGAATTCCATATACAAGACCAAATCATTTTAGAGGTTAAGCATGCTTAGCTATAACTAACAAAGAATAATTCACAAGGGAGTAAGAATCTCATGGATTAGGAACCCCTACCTCAAGTGTGATGCAAAACCCTCAAATGGGGTCAAGAATTTCGAAATCCAAAGAAAGGCCCAAAGCTGAAATTGTTGGTACTCACGCGTAGAGCTCGTCGTGCTCTCCGTTTGGCCTCAAACGGCGCTTAAAATCACTAAGTATTGAGGGAGAAACCTTAGATCAAAGCTTGCTTCCAAAAGAAAAGAAAAATGAAGAGAAAATTGAGAGAGAAGAAGAAGTTATAGGAGAGAGAGAAAAATGAGGAAGCAAGGTGGTCTTTAGACCATTAATTGGATAGTGGTGGGTCCCTCCACTATCTTTTATTTTCTCTTTTTCTTTTTTTACTTCATTCCGCACCACATACGTGCATATGCTACATCACCATAATAATGCTACATAATTCACATAAAATAAAATGTATGAAATGCAAATGGACCCAATTAAAATCCCACACTCAAGATGTGAAAAGACGAAAATGCCCTTGCGGCGACAAAATTCTCGAAAAATGAAAAATGCTAAAAATTAGAAACATCACAAATTAGGCTTGGGAGAGCTTAAAGCCACAACAATGGTGTTGCAACTTGATGATCGATCTATCAAGCAACCACGTGGGTTAATTAAAGATGTTCTCATTAAAGTGGATAAGTTTTATTTTCCGGTTGACTTTCTTGTCCTAGATACAGAACCTGTCCATGATCCCAATAGATATATTCCTGTGATCCTTGGTCGTCCATTCTTAGCTACAGCGAATGCCAACATTAACTGTAGGACTGGGGCTATAGATATTTCTTTTGGGAACATGAAACTCAAATTAAACATCTTCAATGCCACTCCATATTCCTCAGAGAAAGATGAGTGTTTCTTTCTTGATGTCATTGATGAGGATCCAAACACCATCTTTCCAATAAAAGATCCTCCTCCTTTGATTTCGAATCTTTTTTGTCCTTCTTGTGAGTCTGCTCACAAACTTGAGCTTAAGCCACCACCGGATAAGCTTGACTATTCTTTCATGGGTCTGGATGGAACCCCATTGGTTCCTCCTATTTCGAATTTCATAATCATTCATAGGACTGATTTTGGGATGAGAGAGGTAGTTGAGTTATTGGATGCAGGCTAAGGAGTGGTATGCTGTCAAGCTAGCGACGTTAAGCTTAGCATTTGTATGTTTGTACCATAGTTTATTTTTATTCTTTTAAGTTTTTCTAGGTTTTTAGTTTATTTGTTTATTTTTCTTTTATTTTTTTTATTAGGATAGTTTAGGTTTATTTTGATTAAAAAAAATAAAAATAAAAAATAAAAAAAAATTTAGGTTAGCTTATTTGTGTATTTTTCTTTTATTTTTAGATTAGGTTACTTTTGTTTGAAAAAAAAACCAAAAAAACAAAAAACAAAAAAAAAAAAATTGATTGACTTGTGCATAATGATATATATCTGTTTTACTCCATATACTTGATACTCTGATGTGTGCTGTGGAGTGTGATTATCTTGTCAGGTACAAAGGACTAAGTTTGGGGGGTGAGGTGACGATTTCATTCCTCTGAGCTATCAATTCTTGATCCTTGCTGGTTCTGCGTATTTGGTAATATCTTTCTAACTCTACATCTGTTTTCACACATTGAGGACAATGTGCATTTTAAGTTTGGGGGTAAGGCAGTGCCTTTTAAAATTTTGTTGTTGATATATTGTGCACAAGAGGATGCAACTTAACTGTTTAAGCATTATTTTAATTTTGTTGATTGTTTTGATATCCATATGTAGTCTGATATTGGCTAAAGAT